AACCAATCCTGCAAAAATTATCAGAACAAAAACAGCTTCAGGAATGCACAATTCTTCGACAAAATACTAATTCTTGATTATATCATCTACAGGGTTAAACAGGTTAGGACAGAAGTAGTCAGCGATAACTGTATCAGTTATTAGTGACACTACAAACATATTTACTAACCACAATTGTATCGTGATGTTTCCCGTGAAATGGCAGAAATTCCCGGATGCACATCTTAAAACGTCCAGAATCCACATTCTTCAACCAAACATAAATTGAGTCATCTGGTTTAGTGGCACGAGTATACTTGGCTGGTACGAACACAGATGGTTTTCCTCCAAAGCTCTGTCAATTTGTTCAAAGTGTCTATCAATTAGTTTGAGCTTCACTCATCTTAACATTCTATCATCTACACATATTTCAATGTCGTCCCAAGTTATGGTTGGTGAATCGTTTTGGTAAAAAAATTTAGCGCTAAATCCCGACCTCGGTCTATGTAGGGTAACCAACTGACCTGTGAGAATGATACTTTGTCGTACTTTGTTTCTGTTGTCCATTTTCCATTGAAAATCACACTACCATGTATTATTTTTGGATGATTCTGGAAAGCCAACCAGTTAATGATTCCAGTTCCATTTAATCCAATACCTGATTCACGCGCACACACCTAAAAGCCACGTGTAGTAACGGATTGAACCCACATGGCGGCAGGGAAATGAACACGTGAAAACTGCTCACAATGGCTTAACGACACGTGAACGTGTACCTAGAAAGTTATTACCAGAACGGTTGATTAATCACCCAAATTAATATTCGCAAGATTCAAGTTACGTAGTTGAGACGTACGTAAAAACTACCTAAGCTTATCTTTATATTTTTCTCTTTCTGATTAATCCACTTATTTACCTGTTACTGTCCTGGGAGATCATATGGACAGAGAGAGACAAAGGAAGAAGAGGGAGGGGAACAGAAAGGGGTGAAACCACACCCCAGGTATCACTGAGTCACCACGCATTTCAATATTCTTATTTATGGAGGAATCTAAAACTGCACAAATTTTAATTCTTCGAATAATTCCTTTCAAGATGCAGAAGATTCACTGACAAGGCTAACATACATGTTTGCCAGCATAAAATGAATCTGCTATTGATCGAAAACTGGCAATATCACCTGTCCTGAGCCTCTAAATGCGACAGGAAATTGGACTCCCGTGCAGCGAGGCAAGTGACAGTCTGTCGAGGGCAAACATCCACCGTTGCAGCTCCAGCCTTGATAGGACTGTGACATGTTTAGCTTGCCGGCTTGCGGTGTTAAACTTCCTCAGAAAAAAACATGAAAAATTATCTATGGGCAAAATTTTACAAACGAGGTATTTTGGGCATAATGAGCTCTGAAATTTATCCCCCGCTAGTCAAAAGCTAATTCCCGGGAATAATCATTGAGAAAGGTAAAATGAAATGGAAATATCTGAGGATAAACATAATCTGGTAGAGAATGAATCATATTGCAATAAATTCGATGTGACGTTAAAGTAACCAGTATCTATCTTCTCTGTCTGGATTGAGACACGCGATTTCCTGTCTCAGCAATATTTATGAGTCTCCATTATGGGGCTTATAAAAAGAAAAGCTGCTTGCTAGCTAAGTTTCATCTGTTCCATGATTTTCTTGTGGACTCGGCGAGTCTTCTCAGCATGCTTTAAGATACAACATTAGAAAAAAATGATATGCAAATCAAAGAGACTGCACTCAAAAGTGGGTGGATCAAACTGTATTTTCCGCAAATGCGCGAGAGCCGCGATGGAGCAATTCGTTATCAGAAGTACTCCACAACAACAATCTTAAAGTGAAGATGCTTGCATTTCAGTGTAGGCTAAACCAAATTTTACATTTAACACCATGATCGTTGTACGAAAGCAACTGGGCTCTCGTTCAGATTCTTCTAGGAAATAAAATTGTAATGATGATTACGAATTCGAAATTTATGCTTATATGGGTGTTTCATTAAACCATTTTCCAATCGAAGAATGGAGAATGTGAGAAAAATGACAAGGCATGCGCCCCCTTTTTTCTGTCTGAATCCTGCAAAAGGGTATTACGAAGCCGAATACATGTCATGGCTGCTATCATGGGTCTAGAAAATTCAAAACAAGCTTTTGTATTGCATCTTACAGAACACTTACCACTAATAGCAATCACTCTTGGCAAAGAAAGGTTTGCGGAGACCTTACCTGAGACTGTAGGCAGGGTAATTTCAGGGTGGTTGAAAAGAGCCAAACCAAACACAATGGTAGAGAATACTAATTTTCACCCGAACCTTTTCGAACCAAGGCTGATAGTTTCGAAAGAAACTGTTTGGGGCTGCGTCGGTGGGAGTAACGAAATAATTTGGATATATCAACAAAGTTGAAATGGTAAATTGGCCACCGTAATGATTACAAAAGCTGACGTTTCGAGCGTTAGCCCTTCGTCGGAGGAAGCCCTTCGGAGCCCTTCGCTCCGACGAAGGGCTAACGCTCGAAACGTCAGCTTTTGTAATCATTACGGTGGCCAATTTACCATTTCAACTTTGTTGATATATCCAAATTATTTCGTTACTCCCACCGACGCAGCCCCAAACAGTTTCTTTCGAAACTATCAGCCTTTATTCATTTGTA